GACATCTCTGCTTATCAAGCTGTATGAAAAATACAAGTGCTTGACTACACCTTCAACCCTCCACACAGCCATAATTCACCCTCACAATCTGTCAGCCCCAGCAGCAGTAGCTCCATCATCTTGCAATAATGCTTCACTCGATTGTCGGGAGGAAGATGATGCTCTTCAGGGAGGGTAATTCGCCCCTCTGTGATAAAAGCAGCCCAAGCCGAGAGCTGACAAGATTTATTGTTGTGTCTTTTTAAATGTAGCCAATTTCACTTTAATATGATATTAAAAAATGATGCATGCCTGAGCTTTGACTATTTGTGTTGAGGGAATCTCATTTTGGCCAGAGGCAGCATTGAAAATCCAAGATGGCACGTTAGAAAGATAGTTGATGGTATCTTCAGTGTGGATTGGGGCCCTTAGTAAAGGAGGTTCCAATCAATTATGAAAATACAACGCCAATTTTTAAACTAGGATCTGTGAAATGCCTTTATCTCATGACAAAAATGCACAAAACAAAAATTATGTGCTAATAAAACAAGTCAGAGGGACTGCATATCTGTGAAGACATTTGTATTTTAAGGGGGTGATTTTTGTTCTTAATTCAAATTAGTATCAAATAAAATTGGAATAAAAAATATCAGCATAATTGAGTAATTTTGCTAAGAATTGCAATACTTTTACTATCACACTGAATAAAAAGTCCAACTATGTAGTTTTTTTGGTTCATGTTGCGTTTCCTCACTGAGCATTCTTCATATCCACAAATTTGGTATTATAGTAAGTGCCTAAAAGCACTGATATAAATAGCATAACTTACTATGGACTTGCAGTTCAGAAGAAGTCAGACGCCTGGCCTCAAAAAGTTACAAAAAAACCCACGACATTGTTATTGCACAACACTCTGCTGGGTGGGAATGCTTTGTTTGGCTGCAAAAGGAAGTATTGAACTTTCTCCAACATTGCACACAGCGAAAACTCAGCAGAGATATGCATATTGTATGTTGAGCATGTACTTACACAACAAAGCCAGAATTGTGAGAAAAACTCTGACTGTCCTGGGATTGCACTCTTTGCTAAGGATATCCTAAACTCATTTGGGGGAATTTAGTTTGGACAAGCTGTTTGTATTTCTGAATATACATGTCAAATGATTGCTATTTTAAACAATGAGGAAAGTACCTGATGTGGAAACACGATCATATATACCTGACAAGATGTAATGTTTCACAAGATTTAAAAAAAAATTTATGTTTGGACATACTCAACACATTTTTAAAGACACCAACACATAGTATATGACAAAGTTTGAAACTCTGTGAAAGCAATGGACATGTACTTCTGCTTTTGTTCCATATTAAGCTACATTGACTCACATTGTAGCTTAACATTAATAGTATTCAAGAGGATGCAGCTTGGGTACCTAGGTGGAGTGATATTGGAGAAATGTTTGCAAAGCAGGCAATCTAGCAGTGGGATTCTTTTTTCTTGCTGCTGACTGGCTGTACAACCAGGAGCTGAGAGAAAAAAGACTGCAGATGTTACCTCAACTTGAATACTTCAAGTATTCAGATTTGATCTATTCTGGTGGACTGCTGAGATCCCTGACCATCATGAAAACTAATAAAGACAGTCCACCTTATTGTATTGATCAAGCTATATCGGCGTACCTTTGTGCCCTCCAAACAAATCTTTTTCTTTCAGATACAAGGAAAAAGCAAGGTGCATCAACTTCCTATTCATAAGTTTGATCCCAGAGATTCCACAAACTAATGTTCCAATGACACTGGTTTGAGTGGCAGAGGTTCTTCTTTACAAAAATGTAATGGCTTTAATTCTGAGACAGAAAACAGAAATTCATGAATCCACAACTAGCTGTTCGATAGGTTAGCATGTCCTCATGGAAACCACAGGAGTGTTTGGGAAGCTATTTGTTACACGCACGGTGCTCCTCTTTCCTGCCTCTGTGCTCGTCTCCAGCGTTTACTGTGTCAGCTCGTGTTGACTTCCGCAGGGGAAGTTGCCTCACTGCTATCCCCAGACAAAGCCCTGACCCTGGAGGTTAAGGAATGTGAACTCGGGATGTGATGATTGGGACCTTCCTTAGGGGTGGACAATGCAAATGGCCTAATGATGTCAGGATACTTCTGGAACTCCTTTATGCTGACCATGTTTTTCAATGTCCAATTTTCTCGCCAAATTTTGATAAAATTTATAAAGAAATTCAGAGGATCTTGAGGTATTAAGCAATTGATTGGTCTAATGGTTTTTAGAAACGGGCACATTAAGCAAAGTTTCATTTCTGAAACTGTACACCCTTTAAAAGACTTAAAGATTTATTCAAATAGTCCTACATTTGTACCTGAATTTTGAAAAACATTGTCAAAGCCATGAATAACTGTCAAAGCCATGATAACTTTTACGAATGAGCTTCTTGTGAATAGTTTAGGCACAAAGGACACCAAAAGGCCCTCGTCCCATTTATCACCCATTTTAAGAGAGGGGAGAAAGGGAGAAGAGCAGAGCTGCCAAAGCAACCACAGCAAAGCGTAGCATAACAGTGGGGGTCTCTCATCCCCTGAGGCCCCAACACGTTGCATAAAGTTGAGAAACAAAAGACATAACTGAGCCAAGAGATATTGTGATTCAGAGGTAAGTGTAGACGTAGGGCCTTTTAAAGCCCCTAAAATGTTAGGTACTGAAGAGAGCTAATACACCCTCAAGAGAATTTATGTGGATGAAGGTGAAGGGTCGGACTGCTATTAATCATGGCTTGAGTCGAGGATTAAATGGCTTGAACCAGTGGAAAGATGAGAGAACCTGTCCAGATTGAGGTGTTTAAAAGAACCGTGTTACGTCTGCCGTGCATTATGAAAAGGGGCTCGGGACAAAAAGTCATTTGAAGTTAGCACAAAATGCAGATAAATCTAATGGATCATCGTGAAAAGAAGAGAGATCTAAAACGTCTTAACAAAAACCAAGAAAGAGGCACTCAAAGAACAAATTGTGTTTTCTTCGCTCATCTGCAACTCTACAAACATTTCATTCTGATACCTTTTGAATCATTATACTTCATTTTGCTCATTTTTTTCCCTCTACTGCTTTGATCATAGATGTGTCATGCATTGCATTAATTATGCATTATAACTCAGAATACACTGGGAACACCTTTGAGTTCTTAGTTAAAGCAAGATCACAGCAGGGGCCTAGAGGCTGGCTGCAGCAGGCATTTACATCGCCTGCAGAACTTCAATGTGAAGTCTTTTTGTTAGAACAATGAATGTTCTGCTTTCATCTAGTTTATGTGGCCAGTATCGGGTGTGGAAGTGCAAGGAATATAAAAGGGACATGACTTGATCCCAATCGATTACACATGTGCAACAAAAAGAAGAAAAAAAAAAACAATAATGAGAAACATCAAGACTGCACATTGGTCTAATGCTGTAAAAGGTACTTAAACAACATACATTTATAAACAAATGCATAACTGTGACTAAGTTTTTGCCCCTTGTGACTTTCTTTTTGCTATTTTATCACGCGTTCATGCTTCAAATTATAAAAAATGTCAAGATCAAATAAAAAAGTTTTTGTTGGGGGTTGAAATTTGATCCAAAGTAACATGGCAATGCAAATGCAAACTGGTGGACAGGTCTGCTAACATGCCAAAGTTAGCAATTCATTCACAGAATTATGTTTAAAATGGACTATATGATTTTCTTGGAAATTATGTGAGTCATATTTTGCTATTGCTTTACGCCTCCTAACTCCTCACAACCTGAGAGAGAGTAACTTCAGAACTAAACCGCCCAACTGAAGAAACCTCAGCTCTATGAATTAGTGATGGCCCCAAAAACCCTTAAATGCAGTCTCGATGCTCTATGAACCATGCCAGGATAAATCAGCAAAATAAAGTATTGAAAGATGAAATATTTTATTTCCATAGAGGCAAAACAATACCATGTGGAAAAAAATAAGCTCAGGACAACTATTGTTGGAGAGCTAACAGTTCACATCATCCAGAATACACCATCTCCAGAATGAAGCAAACAATGATGCAATAAAAAAATGCTTCCATGGAGCCAACCACCCAAAACATAAAGCCAGGGCTCCAACGTGATGCTGATGAGCAACCAGGAATCTGTTCAGACACTATTCCATTTGACTGAACTTTACCTGCACTGTAAAACAAAGAACGTTCAAACGTTTCTGTCTTTAGAAGAAGTCAATGAGCTTGCAGCAAAATATGGTTCTGCAAAGTGCTGAAGCAATTTGTTGCAGTGAATTTATTTTTAAGGCTCTACAGTAAGGGTGAGCAGAAATGTGCAATATGCACTTTTTTCAGATTTTCCGTTGTCCTGGCAATTCTGCACTATTTAAGTTGGTCAATGATATTAAAATCCACTTGACAGTCAACTTTTAGATTTTAGAGTTGACTGTAATGTGACACAGTGTGAAAAGAGGGATAAATGTAAACCATGCATTTTTTTTATTATTATCCTTACTCAAAGTGAATAAAATACTCGTGAGAAGATGCGAATCGACTTCAGATTCTGGCAGACAGAATTGTTCAACTTATCTCTCACACAACAAGGTGACCAGGACATAAGCAGCGGCTGCAAAGCTGAAGGAGACTCTGGGTAATGTAGAAAACTGTACGTGATGCGCTCCTGTTCTTCCACGTTGATTCCCAACTTCGCAACAAGTCATCCATGCCTTTCTGCCTGCGTCGCTGCAGTGCGGCGTGCGTTGGTGTGAGTACCCCCTGCACAGGTCCCTTTCTGCTGCGCTGTTCCAGTAGTTGGAGTTGTTGTACAACCGAGAGCGAGAGAGAGAGAGAGAGAAAGAGAGAGAACAGCAGCTGAGTGTGCAAACAGAGGCAGAAACATTAGGTTATCTCCAGATACTATCATCAGACACCAAGCTGTCACTTTTACCGCTCAGAGTCAACTCCGCTCTCCTCCCCCCGCAGCCCACAGGAGCCCACACAGCGCAAGCAAGCAGCAGCAGCGCCCAGGTCCGGTTCGCTTTGCTCCAGCAGCCGCCTGTGAGAAAACTCCCCGAACGCGGTCGTCAGCTGGCATGAGCTAACCTCCGAGTCCGACATGGAAACCAAACCGTTCCTGTCATTGGGTAAGTTCGCCTCAATGTGTTATGAGCGAGGTGTTTTGTTTTCATAGCAGCCCTTCTCTGAGGTTTCCTCGCGCTGTCCCCCTTTTTCACTCCCTTTATATTATATACTCGCTTTATATGGAGCGAGTTGCCAAACGCGCGAGCTATCTTTAATGCACACATCAAAAACATAATCCGCAGGGTTTTAGTTAAAACAAACACACCTCTGCCTCGCTGACTACTTCGCTGCTTGTGCGAGTTGATGACATTTTACCTTGATGCGGACTGACAGCGCTCGAGCTTCGCCGCGCGCAGAGGTCGCGTGCGCCGCATCAAAATCGACTCGGTTCAACTTTAAACTTTCGAACAAACTGTTGACACAATGCATCAACTGCGTTTGCAACAATCTCGGCAGAAATCCCCTCGTTTTTGAACGGACCGCTGAATATTTCTTACGTCTTATTGATCAGGACATATTTAAATGGAAATACTGCTTTGGAGGCGTTTCGGTGGTTGCATTTAAATGCAATGTAAAGGCCTTTTTTTTTTTTTTTTTTACTTAAAGTAGAGTTTGAGATCAGATATAGATAGCCCCATTCTCAGATCAGCTGCACGAAAATGACCTCTGCACGTTGCTCAATAGTTTAAATTGGAAAGATTTTTATGGATGTGAATTATCCAGTTAATCTTTGCATGGATCATTGTGCAAGATGTTTTGTTTTTGTTCGTTTGCTGTTGTTTTTGCGCAGTTGTCGGTGCTTTATTACTTAGATCTTAAAAGTTTTTTCAAATATAATTTTCCTTTCTTAGATTTTGACGCATGTATTTGTTGCATGTAACTTTTTTTGATGCTTCATTCACATCGATAAAATTACATGAAAAGAGAAAAAAGTTAGAATGAAGTTTAGTCGTGCTGAAGCTTCTGCTGGTCAATCCCCGACATTTATCTGACTGCAAGTGGATTAAAAAGCAATGCATCAAAGTGATTCCTGTTGTATGCGTTGCATTTATGCTTGTTGCATATTTTTTAGTTTTTAGTTTTGATTGATCTAATGGTAGAAAATAATTCTGGCAATTACATAACACAACCATTTTAGCCTCTAGCAAGCTCAGGGTGCTGTAGTAAGTAAGTTTAGAAACATATAAGGGGCCTCAAGCTTCAACAGTCCAGAATAAAATCTTAAATCAAATTTTTTATTGAACATTGTGCCAGTGTAGAGATATCAGGTGTAACTAAGCAAGCTTTAAACAGCTGCAGAACATCCTAAGAATTGGACGGAGTCATTTAAAAATGGAAATGCAATAGTCTGAGATTGGTTCTAATTTGTACTAATTGGTTGTTTGAGTTTGCAGCTTGAGCGAACACAAGCACACGGCACTGTGAATCATTAATGCCCAGTTCCACTGTAAGGTAAACAGAGCGGACCCTTGTCCCTCTGTGGCAAAGCTGAGCCCAGAGCTGCAGGTGAGCCCCACTTTGTTATTGTGTCTGTTGCTTTCTCATGAGGGCGTCGAGTTACACCTTCACGCATTTCATCAGCTGCCTGCTCTCTCCGCACCGGAGGGGGAGGCTGGATTCGGAGGGAGCAAACAGGCTCCGGCCACGGCTTTCTTCAGTTACAGCCTCTGCTTGCTGACGGTGTTGCCTCAGCACCCCTCTCTGTGGCTTCCCAGAAACACGCTGAACCACCAGCATCGCACACACTGACAGGCTGTTATTCCAGGTGCGCCGTATTGTGTGTCCACGCTGATGCTGATTCAAGTTTCAGACTGCCTGAACGTGCACCTAAACTTGCCCAACTGACAAAAAAAGCCTGGTGTAAATTGGTGTGAATTTCAGCTCTTTTCCATCTGAGTTGGACCTAATCACTCTCTGCTCTATCAGCAGCTTTTATATTGTGATTCTTCTCCTCTTTAAATCATCATTTATGTCTTAGATTTCTCCATTAAAGGGGCCACTTAAGCTGCAGTTGTTTAATTGGTCTGTTCAAGGACACCCGATCCTCAAAGACCTTGACTCTATTGATTATCCACTTGCTTGACGTAAATATCTAAAGTTGTGCTGCATTTGAAATTCTGACATGCATCTGACTGAAACTACAGCGGACACGTTTTACAATTATAGATTGGTTGTTGGCTGACAGCACCCTGCCTCGGCAGCGGATGCTCAATATTATGTACTGTGTTGCCTGATCCAAACTACTCCACACATGTGATTTTAAACTACAAAGAGAGGAGGGGTGACATTGAAAGGAGAATGTGTCCTTCAGTCAAAGCAAATCAGAGGATAGTGAGGATAGCAGTCTGTCAGGAAAGAAATAGTCTGAAAGACAAAAAGAGCTGTTGAACACAGCAGAGTTCAGTTTATATTCCTTGAATAATTTTTGTCACATAAACATTCATTATGGAAAGAAATCTTTACATTTTGGCATGCATTTATATTTAACCCTCTTCTCTCTGATACACTTGAATAAAATCCAGTGGAACTAATTTTACCACTCGGACTTAGAGGCCACAGAAGGAGAACAGACATCACAAATGCAGCCAACAGACCCATGGATGCTCCAGAAGAGCTGCAAAGATCTACAGTTCATTTGAAAGAAAGCAGACAGAGCAACTGATCCTTATTGAAAATTGCTAAAACAAAAGCCATTGAGCATGCTGGTTGCAGCACCATGTTTTGGGCCTTCACATGGACACTGGTCAGAGTTAATGGGCTCATATTAGCGTTTCATTGTTGGGAACTTCAAAAGATTGACATGTATTGAAAAGACAGAACTCAGTATTCAAAATACCTGCTAGTGAAAGACGTGCTTTTTCTCTCCTAAGATAGTCACTTTCCTGTAAAACTTAGCTAAATTAATTTAATAGACAACTGCTTGGAAATTTACAGCTTGTCATTATGTTTTTTTTTTTTAAACTACTTGGAAGTATATGTCACTCTACACTAAAAATCTACATAAAGTTTTGTACTACTAATCCTACGACTGAATCCATTTTCCTTCGATTAAAAATCTTTTAGCCTGAAATAAACATTGCACATCAGTTGAGCAAGATTTTTTTTGATAGACGTAAAAAAAAAAAGATTATCCTATGAAGAATAATTGCAGCACATTTGCTTTTTCCTTTATCTGGCCGCTTCAAAACATTGAAATGAACTCTGCCGTTGTTTAAAAAAAGGTAAAGCCTGCTTTGAAAACTCTTCAGCACTATTAAAGAAGGGCTTGATTATTTTTTCACCTGTAATAGCTGTGTTCATTTCTTTTCATTTTATGAAGCACAGCGCGTTTTATGTTCACTTGAACTTACCTAAGTCAAATAAACTAGCCAGCCCTCATTTCCAAAATCAATGAAGTTCATGGTCTTTAATGGGAAAGCGGGATTCACGGCTGTGTGCGTCTGGAGGAGGAGGGGAGGGGGTTCTATGGTCTGCATTCCTGCTCTGGCAATAACTCAGGAACAAAGGTAATACAGGGAGAGGTTGTGTGTCTGCCGGGAGGTAGGTGTGTGTGTGTGAGAGGTAAAATTACTCTGCCAAAAGCATTTGGCCAAGTTTGTCTTTTACGGCCGTCCAGTTTTGTGTTCCCGATGTGAAGCTTTTGCTCCCCTTTTGAGGAATAAAAGGGGGCTGCAGCTGTCATTTTTATTGGAGGAGTTTTATAGCGAGACTTAATGGCTTAAAGTGACAGCTCTCTCCCTCTCTTTTCTACTTTTTTTTTTCTTTTCTCTCGCAATCTCACCCATGAGGCCTTTTAACTGAAGCAAGTCAAAGAAAACTTGCTTGCCGTATGTGTGCCCACCCTGGACTTTCCCACCCCTCACCCACAGTTGCATCCCAGCTAAATGAGGGAAAATTTCATTTTTCCCCTTATTTATAGCAACAGTGCAAGCATCCAGACCTGTGTGTGATCCATCCACTTAAACGTTACGTCCTGCTGTCATAAGTTTATTTGACTTTATTTGAGTTATTTGGTCTTTGCTCTTTAAATTATTCTCCCGGTATGAAGTGCAGCTCACAGACGTTTACGCTCTGCACGTTGAATGAATCAGAAAAAGTTCTCTGAGATGTTCTGATGCACAAATCCTAGAATGAACTGAAAAGCTTGTTAATTGTTTGTGTAAGGAACTGCTCACTGGCAGGAGGTCTTTATTGATAACGGCCGCACTGAACTCTGCACCTCAAACCTTGACCTTTACACCCCCACATGCTCGATCATTTTAGGAATTTGCTCTTGGCGTTCAGTCCTTTTAAACTATTTCAAGACAGTAGCTTGTTCGTTTGTTGTCCTGTTTTCTTTTTTTTTTACCTCTTTGTTCTTATCAGCTTACGTGCATTTTGACTCGTAGTTCACAACATGTGAGTCACTGTGATTGGCATGTTTAGTGTAAAAGTGAAAAATGTGCGAGATTTGCAGAACAATATTCTGTTTACAGTACTTTGCAGAGGTTTCATACACCATGAACATTGATGTTATCAGCACACATTTTATTGCATTTTATTGGTGTTTTATTAGCTGGTCCAGCATGAAATAGTTTGGATTTAAGTGAGAGGATTTTTCTATTTTACGAATGTTGTTTCATGCAAAGTTGTTTGTGTTTATCCCTCACTGATTCAAATATTTGCAGAACCATGTTTAGCTCCCATTACAGCTGCAAGTATTTTAGCTAATCTTTGTTGCAAAATAGTTCAAGTTCAGTCACGTTAGATGGCGAGCATCTGTGAACATCAGTCCTCAAGCCTTGCCATAGATTCTCAAATAGACTTATGTGAACTTTGACTGGGACATTTTATTTTAACTAATGAATCTGATTCTGTTTAAACCAGGGGTGTCCAATGTGTGGCCCGGGCACCGTTTGTGTCCCTTGAGATTTTGTTCGGCCGCTGACCACAAGTCAAGAATGATTAAAAATATTTGGCTAACAAAATATAAAACAAGGTCCTGGGTTCGAGTCCTGGACCGGGGTCTTTCTGCACGGAGTTTGCATGTTCTCCCTGTGCATGGGTGGGTTCTCTCCGGGTA